GAAATTTTCAGTATTCTTCCAACGAAAATATGCTCACATCTGGATAAAAAGACGCACCTAACAAAGCTGTGTGGGCACAATAACGACAGCGACAGGAAGGTTCAGACATGTTTCATGGCCTTTTCTTAACTCTTCTTTTTCAGTATTTTTAAGCATTTCAGTAGGGGCCGGCATTGTAGTCTTCCAGTTGGACTCATGCTGTCTTCCCATGACGCACTTCTGCCTGTGTAATCAAGAAAGAATCGCGACGGTTTCCAACTTGTTTTACAATGGTTCTTCGAACCTTCCTACACAAACTTCTTCTGATCGATTTCCTTGCGGCTCTTATTTTGACCTTCTTACAGGTTCCTTATTTCCTTATGCGAAAAAGTGAGCTTATTTCCTTTTAGACAGCTACTAAACCCACCCCACAATCCTATTTCTTCGCCCATGAGCGGTAGGTCTCGGGTTCGAAACTTGGGAGCAGCCTCTCCATAAAATGGGGGTAAGGCTAGCCGACATTCACCTCTCCCAGACCCTGCGTAAAGCGGGAGCCTTGTGCACTGGGTACGACATTTTACTGTTTTTTGGCCGAGCCTATGATTACTCTCGGTCTAATAGAAGCATCAGGAATATTCTCACCAAGGGCTTGCCCCAGTGGGATTCCGTCGAATCCTATTAGGAAGTGGTTTCATCTGGATAAGGAAGAGTGGTCGAATCCTATTATAACAAGGAATCCTCAGAGGCTAGTTATGTTTCGAATAAGAAAAGATGATGAGATTCAAAACTACTTTAATTACACAAAACTACTTTAATTATGAGTCGAATCATAATCTTATATCTCATGTTTTAAAAATTACAATGTCATACCTCATTTTACAAATTTGTCGCAATATCAGACATCCGTTAGTTGTTCTGCCAATTTTCTATTAAATGCTGATGTGGCTTGAGGCGGAGCCCACTCCCTAGCCGAATTGGATTAAAAGCTTCCGTTAGTGTACTCTAATTATTCCTTTGCAGCCAAAGTTCAAAGAAAAAAGAAAGGGAAATTCACCTTTTAAGATAGCATGTATCAATTGTCAACAATTTGAAGCATTAAACAGTAAGAATGAGTCGCGTTTAGTTTTATCAATTTATATATATGTCGTGTTTGTATCAACTTATAGATTAACCGATACGAAAAATAATATAAAGTTAATAATAAAATATACAATAACTCGTAATATTCATCCGACTAAGAAAAGTGTAATTTTTTTTTTGTCAAGATAATGCAATCTACTATACCGAGTATATGACCAAAAAAAAAACAGAAAGATAAAACTAAAAAATCGTGGTCGGCAGGATTCGAACCTGCGCGGGCGAAGCCCACATGATTTCTAGTCATGCCCGATAACCACTCCGGCACGACCACTTGACGTTGACCTTACGTTATAATTGCAATATCTACACGTGACATTAATTTCTGTTAAATAATTCGTACAAGTCCATAGAGCCCCGCACCAACTCCAAGTATTATTTACTCTGCCTCTTTCCTCAGGACGTGAAATTTGGATTTTCTTCGTACCTTAGTTTGTGCGGTGAGGCCAACATAATGAGTTAATAGGGATTGACTATTCAATTTGAGGGGTTAGGATTGCATGGTCCTTGAGCTTCGGACAGTGAAATTCAAAGTGGATCTCTGTCCAAGTATGTAAATTACACCGGACAGTGAAATCCATAATGGATCTCTGTCCAAGGACGTAAATTACACCCGTCTACGTACAAGCGTTTTTTCTCGAATTGCAGTAAGAATTCTTGAAATCACTGATTTATCCCCTCTATTTCGACAATAAACATGATTGTGTACAAGATTGCGAAAAACTTCATTAAGGCTCTAACTAAGACAGTAAAAGGGACCAACATGAGGTCGGATGACACCACCATACAGAAAACACCATACTTTGAGGAGAAGTGGCATAACTAGACCTTAGCCTAAGGATCTATTTGAACACGAAAACGTTCCGAAACAAAGATTTTTAACCAAAATGTAGCGTCGAAAAAGGGGTGCTCATTCAGCTGGCAGAGCTCTATATGCAACCACTAAAACGACATTAGCTACGAGTAAGAACGCTGCCTAGCGTGCAAGAGACACCGAAACACCCAAGTAATTTTGCTAAAGCTTTACAAAGGGACCTCACTGAAACAGCAACCGAAGAATAACGCAATCAATCCATGCTCACTGAAACAGCAACCGAAGAATAACGCAATCAATCCATGCAAGTTTTTACACAAGATTGTACTTAAACAGCAACACTCAACTCGAATTCATCCAAATATATTTCAGATTCAAGCTCCCAAGCAGTTCGTTAAAAACAAAAATTTCAATACAAAGTGAACATGAAAGGATTTCCTAGTACACAACAACTCCATCAGTCAAAGCCTCTGAAGGCTCTCGCTACAGTCCGAGAGGCCCATCACACCGAGTATGCATTATGAAATAGTTTAGATAAGGAGCTTCTCAATGGCATCCTGCAGTTTGACATATACAATGTTTAGAATACAGAACCAAATCCAGAAACTGTAGTTTAAAACTAGAGCGAGGAGTACCTTGAGTTGTTGTATTTGTGACTTCAATTGACTTCCCTCGTTTGTTGTCACAGAGGCGGCAATGACGGGTCTTGTGACACCGCATGCTCGTCCGAGTGCTTGCTTCGAAGGGACAAACACATAGGGCACATTCTGCACAAATTCAAGTAAAATGTTTGTAACATGTACACTAAGTTTTAAAGTTCCAGCATAAAATGAAACATACACACGAAAGTTAAAGAGTGCTCTACCACGTGATGCTTATTGAAAGGATTGTCGCATATGGGACGTGTACAATCTAAAATGAAATGGGCATAAGCTTTGGTGCATCAATTTAAAGCCGTAAAACACAGCCACAGCACCAACCAAACGTAAGTAATAAATGTGTCTGGTTTGGGTACAATATCAGCAATGCCTACTACAAAAATGGAACATCAAACAATTTGGAAACTACATGAACTACCTCAACTTGCAAATAATAAGCCAACTATCAAGTCTAATAAGGTTGTCGTATATGGGACGTGTACAGTCTAAAACAAAACGGACATAATCTTTGATGCATCAATGTAAAGCCGTATAACACATCCCAACCAACCAGAAGTAAATAAAATCGGTAACGCCTACTACAAATCTGGAACATCAAACACTTCCGAAACTACACGAACTAACTCAACCGACAAATAGTACGCCAACTATCAAGCCAAAAAGGATACATTTTATCTAAAAAGTGTAGAAAAATAAACAAAAAGAGGCACTTTGATATGTCATTGTGCAAAGCATCAAGTCACTGAACTACCCCCATATGAGAATCAACACTATCACAATCAACCAACCAACCAAAACTTACAATTCACAATCAAAACGCATTCAAAACACGATAATCTCATCACCGGAAAAAATAGTACCTTATCCTCAGCCAGCAGGGGAAGGTGAAGAAGAATCTCCAGGGGCTCGGTATCCGCCGCCATCACTATAAACTCCGAAATACCCCTGTTCAAGGTCTTAGTTGCTGAAGAAAGTTGACAACCCAAATGTCAAATTCCTCAAAATTCCAAGTCCCAAAATTCACACAAAAATGACAAATAAAAATGGACTAAAAAGCAGAAGCATTCGGGTGAGTACCTTCATTCGCGCCCTTTTTGAGCTGCTTGTAGTTAGCAGCTTGCTGAACCAGGTCGAGTATGGTGATCGTCAGCTGTGCGTCGGCCAACGGGTACGCCTTCGGGTTCACTGCCTCTCCGGTCTGCAATTACAGTCAAACACAATAAAAATAATCAATTCAGAAACCCTAATCGATCGATTGAAAACCATAAGAGAAGATCAGAGTTGAAGAACGAGATGGTACCATTGTGTGCCGTCGTCGATATCGAGGGAGCAGAGAGGCTAGGGTTTTTGACGCGCACCGAATTAGGGTTTAAGGAGGAGAGCGTTCACCGTTTACGGCCGGGAAATTTATAGAGGAGGTTTATGGGCCGCCGTCGCTTATACCGAGCTTTATGCACTAGAGTTTGTGGGCCCATTACGGAGCATCGGGCTAATCTTGTCTTGATTTTGGACCGGTCCATTTTGATTATATTTTATAATAAATTTAGAAAAAAGTCACTTCGAGAACTAATGAATGATAACAAACACTTAGCTTTATCTTGTTAAGTGAGATCGGCTAAAATTTTAATGTTGTATTTGAAAACATTAAACTACGCCAGTAATACAATACATGCAAACTTGATAATTAGATTGATTACATGATCAATTTAATCCATACTAGCATTTGCCTACACATTTTGTGTGTATAAACATATTTTTTTAGAAAATGAGAAGGGGAGAGAGAGAGAACGTGGGGGTGGGAGATTTTTGTTTTTGATTTTTTTTATTTATTTTTTAATATTGAAGGTATTTTAATATCACATGTATGTGAGGTTTTAATAAAAAGCAGTAAAATTTAGACCTGTAAAATTATATTATTGCCCATCATTTTTTTTGTGTGATAGAAGACTAATTTGTCTTTTCACCTTCTTTTGGTTGACAAAGAAAGTTTCATTAACTAGTAGAGATAAGAAGAGAAACTTAGCAGTTTGTCAAAGTATGAAATATTTCTAAAAACATACCAAGTAAGATAACTTTGGTATCAGATAGATTAACGTATGGTTGTGTAGGACCAAAATACATGAGGTTCATGATTTTGTAAAAGGTGTCGTACGAGGTCGGAAATAGGATGAGTTATTGAATTTTTTTCATTTTCATTTGCTATTTCCTAAAAATAAAAAGAGTGATGCCAGCAACTTAAATCATAATTTGTAGATCATTTGATGTGGTAATTGATAATTGAATTTTTAATTTAAATTATTAAATAACGAATCTAAACCCTCACATCACGTATTCGACTAGTCTAAAAATCATCGCGTGACGTGGCTGTCTATGTCCAGGTGGCGAAACATGATTTGGCTGGTGACAAACACCGCAGCCATTGCTTTCAGGCAGACGCTTTCTCGCTTCTCCTACTGTAAGATCCCTCTAGGTCGACGGAATCAAAATTATCAAAACCAAATACCAAATTTACACCCCGTAATCTCTCTGCTTTTCGCAGCTGCTCAGAATCAGAAGCAATGGGGTGGTTCGGGGAGACCCTGGACTCCATCAAGTCCATTCAGATCAGACAAGCTCTTTCCCAAGCCGTCACTCTCGGTCCGTATATATCTACACACACACACACATATATATATATATATATTATGTATTTGTATATGTATTTACATGTATATATGTTTCAGTAGCTTTTTGGTTTGGGGTCAATGAAGATTGCAGCTAAGGTGTTTGATATAATGCTTCAGGGTTGATTGTGACGTCGGCATTGATTATATGGAAAGGGTTGATATGTATGACTGGGAGTGAATCGCCTGTGGTGGTTGTACTATCTGAAAGCATGGAGCCTGGATTTGCAAGGGTGAGTTGAGCTCAGTTGTTTTGTTAAAGTTCTGTTTTTCTTTGTACCCAATATTTGTTTATGTGTTTTAAGCCTTTTATTTTAGTCCAGAAGTGTCAATTAAGCATGTTTCAAGCAAAAAGTTAAGGGATTGAGGTTAAATTTGGCATGTAGATTATAAGAACTACTAGTCCATGGATGGCTAAGGTGATGCGTCTTGAAATCCTAATTGCCGTGGTTTCTGCTACATCGCAAGGAACAATTGTGAGGAATAGCCATTCTAGAACAATGATTCGGGGGTAAGAATAAGAAAAAAGTAAAAGTGACGAGATGCGAGGGAAAAACTTTTGTTTAACATTTCTGGAAAAACCACCTATTTGTTCATTTACCAGGTTCAGCATGAAATTATAAATAAGCTCTACCAAGGATACGATAAACGGAATAAAACCATGCCTTTTACCTGGTTTGAACAATTACTCACTATGTTTTATAGTTGTAAAAGAAATTGGGGGTCGGGGTATTAAGTGGTTAATTTCAATTTGCTGAAAAGAATTGTACACGAGATTCTTCCAAACGGTATATATATACGAATGTATTAGTATAGTGGTATTTCCTTTGAGATTGAGGTGCTAAAAGGCCTAGTGAATATGCTGACTATTTTCATTCAATGGGCGTGATGGTTTCTTGATTTCGGGTCATTTCAAGTTTCAACATTGAGATTTTTAATGAACAACCAGTACTATGGTTGCAATGCATTTGGTCCTGGTTGCCCCAATTGATGCAACTCTTCCTTGGAGAACCATTTTACCGTGGTATCACTTGCAGACTTTCAGTTATACAATTTATGCGCCCTTTGGTTTTAGTACGTAGCGTGCTTAACTGTTGCATTGCCTCATCTTTGCTTTTCTTTTAAGTTTTGGTATCTCATATTACCATTGAACATGCACAAAAATGTGGGCTTTGATTTTCTTTTTTCAATTGTTTGCTGACATCATGATATCTTTCAGGGTGACATTTTGTTCTTGCATATGGGCGCGGATCCTATTCGTGCAGGAGAAATCGTGGTGTTTAATGTGGATGTATGTCCTTTTTATGCTATTCCTCCTCCAGTTCATTCATTTCAAACTTTCTTACATGTCCAATCCATTGATATGAGCGTCATTTAGTATCATACTTTGTTATTATTTTTAACCTTTCTGAAATTTATGGACCAAGCATTGAATGATTAGTTTTCAATGCTGGAGGTGGTGCAACTCTCTTGGTCTGTCGGTGACTCGGTATAGAGTAAATGTTTTAACAGAGAAGATATGGCACTGGGCAATATCTTAGCTATGAAATTCAGTTCTTAATTATTGAGCTGCTTTCATTCCATTGATAATTCCAAAAGTACCTTTTGGGTCAGGCTGCTGGCCTATGTATGTCTTTTGTTGTGTTTGTACTTCTTCTTACGGTTTTTTGCTTGTTCTCCAGGGACGTGATATTCCAATTGTTCATCGAGTAATTAAGGTAAGAAATTAGAATCATGGGTTAATATCTAGATGAAGCTAACCATCTGAGCAAAAGGTTGGCTGTGATAGCATCTTCTTTCATGCTCGTTGAGTCTGTTTAATGATAATAATGGCCATTTTCTGTTAGGTTCATGAGGACAAAGATACTGGAGAAGTCTATGTCCTCACAAAAGGTACTGTTTTCTTTTATAAACAAAATGATTAGACCATTTTAATCTGTGTTCCTGTCACTTGTTCACGATAAATCATCTGCAGTTGTATTGTCCATGTAATTTATGAAGATAGGAAATGAAACAAAGTCTTGAAGTGCTTAGATGAAGGTGTAGTTGCACTTGCACGTGATAAAGTTCAAGGATTTGAATATGTTTTGATACTTATGATTCTGTTTATCATTTTATATTCTATGGTTTAGTCATTGTCGTTTTGATTTACTATTTTGCAGGAGACAATAACTTTGATGATGACAGGAGCCTGTATGCTCGAGGCCAGCGGTGGTTGAACCGACGCCATATCATGGGGAGAGCTGTTGGGTATTCTTCTTTCGTATTTTGAAATTCATTTTTTAATCTGTTTGGTAAAACTTTTATAGCTGTTAGGTAAGTTAATAACTGTGACATAAGTTAGAACAATGTAAAGACGATCAGAATACATTATTTTTGCTGGAAATCGGAATACATGTTCCAGTTATGTATGTATTGAACGTCGATGCATCTAACATCAGCTGTACACTAACATAAGGGTTGATTTACCTCTACAATGGTCGGTTTTGCATGCATTTCAGCACAGTACTTATATCTGCCTAAACCCTGAAGTTATCTTGTCAAAAGGGTTAATATATGTTAAAATTTATTTGGTTCTCTGAAGGTTGAGTTGAACATGGGAGATTTTTTATCGTGCTTATATCTGCATCTTTACCTTCTTTATCCTCGAAAGAAAGGTTTCACTAAAAGAAGAATGCAGTCATTTTCTGCCACAGATACATATATAATATACGAAGTGTATTCATATACATTTTTGGTTCCTCTGCAGGTTTTTGCCTTACGTTGGCTGGGTGACAATTATCATGACAGAAAGGCCTATAATCAAGGTTTGCTTTTACACATCCTTACATTCTTCAGATTTTCTTCTAATCATGCATTATTACTCACTCAGAAACGTATTTTTATATAACACGTTGGCGGAATCTTGTCGTTCGATTAGAAGGTTAAGTGTTGTCTCGCGTGTTTCTTTCTCGCAGTACGTTCTCATAGGGGCGCTGGGATTGCTGGTCATAACCTCCAAGGATTAGAGATGCAGCTGCAGAGAGCCAGATACAAGTTTATTTTCTGAAGCAGGAGAGAGAGAGAGAGAGAGGCCAGTTGAATTAAAACTGTAATTCACATTCGATCTTTACCCCTTACAATGTTGCAATTTGCTCAATGATCATTTTCATTTCTTTATTTCCTTTTTCAAATCAAAGGAAGGGGAATGCGGAGTCAAATTCTTGTCACGAGCGATGAACATTTGAGACTGCTTTAGTAAGAAACACTTCTGCTCATAAACGCTTTTAGCATTCCCATAAGTAAATCCCAAACCGGCCCAATATCTACAGCTGGGAAACTAGAAGTCCCCATTGCTCAATTTATTGCTTAAACTAGTGTATTAAACATGATACGTAACATTAACAACAGCAAAGCTCTCATATGAGCTCATCGTGACCGTGGTTACGCATACATAGCAAGCACTAGTTAAATCACAGACAATTTTACACAAAGTCGTTGTGCATCATATATAGGACTAGAGAATACAAAACGTGCGCAGGCAGCAGGCTGCAGCTGCTGTCAATTTTTCATCATGTAGGACTCCAAAATTTGCAGCTGTTATCCTTCGCATTTTGCTCCGTGCGCATGGTCCGCAACAAGAATACTGAAAGACTGGCACCAAACAAGCAGTCTGCACCAGAGAACAAGAATGCACAGCACTTTGTTACAATTTTGATAACAAGAGACATATTACATTTTATTCATGTAAAAGCCGAAAAACAACCATCATACGATGAGGATAAAATAGCAACGAGTCAACACAAACACTGAAGCCAGAGCATTAAAAAAAGACTTTAACGAAAAGCTTCAGGTACTGTTCACTTTAACGAAAAACCACATTTTTACACTAAAAAATCAACCTTGATACTATTCACTTTACCCTTTAGTTTGTCCTTATCGTTAAAACTCAAAGTTTTCAAGCCCTTTTCATTAGCTTTCCTTAAAAAACATGGCATGCTAACTTCTCGCTTCAAACACAACACAAACCTAACTCAACTTCAGATTGGCTCCAAATAGTTGAAAAATAAATACAAGCAAATCTTTCATTCAATTATGCATATATTTCATGCTATCAATCCACACAAGTACACAAAAAGAAGAAAAAAACACGGAAAGAACCATCATTTTGTTTGAAACCGTAGATTAGTAAATGAGTGGAAGTGTCATCAAACTAGCATACAAAACTTAGCAGTCAAGTGAAGTAGCATATCACTGAGAGAAGAATGGGTAAAAGGGTGCTGAGATGAGGCATAACACAAAAATTCACGAAAACACCACACATACGAGATGGCTTTACAAAATGATTCATCCTTTCAGAAACTTAATTGTCATCTCTGTCTAAAACTCAGACTTGGGAGTTTTTTTCAGCAGGAGATAGTATAGATGATAAAACATTGCTAGAGCTAAGAGATTAACAGATATAGATTCCATAACCCGATCACACATAGAACGTTAGCTTGCGCCATTATCAACATAAACGTAACAATGTAATATCTGGTGAAGTATTACAGTGAGGAGCAAGATGAAATATCTGGTGTTTTAATGCTTATAGTTTGTATCATGAGAGAACAAAAAACAAGATCACTTATTGCACACTTCCTCGCCAGTTTTCCCGATAAAAGACATTACTTTACATCATCTAAAAGAAAAATATGGCAGGATAAAATGGACCTTTGGTTCAAGAGTTTAAGCTGCAGTCTCAAACTTCTGCAGCATGTCACAATGTGGTGTTTCGCGAATAAATCCCCACTGGCGGCGCTGCATCTCAAGCCGACAATTCTGGGAAAGAATGTTGAAGAATTCTCTCTCAACCCGGTGTTCTAGATTGACACGCTCCGAGGTACCTGGCGGGAACTCTTGCTCAAACTTGGTTGACTTAACATAAAAATTCACACCCTTCTCCGTAGTAACGCGGTATTCGTAGGGATAGGACCTCGAAAGAGCATAGATAGGCTCAGAAGACGGCATGAAGCTGACAAGCAGAATAAGCAACACTGGCAGCAACTGAATTAGAATCCGGATATTGGACCCACCAGAGCCATGGTCACCACCCCTCTGCCCCATTCCGTTGTGCCCAAAACTGAATCCCCGGAACTGGGTTGCCGGAGCCATTCCTCCTCCTCCAAAGAAAAAGTTCCTAAAGATCTCCTCGGCATCGACATCCGCATCATAGAAGCCATTAAAGCCATTAAATCCATGTGCTCCATGTTTGGTAGCACGTCTCTCGTACACCGGCTCATCTGAGCCCATAACATCATACTTTTTCCTGCTCTCTTGATTGCTAAGACACTGAAACGCCTTCGAAACGGACTTAAACGCTTCCTCAGCTCCCGGTGCCTTGTTCTTATCGGGATGAACCTTCAAAGACAGTTTTCGATAAGCCTTTCGAACATCTTCAACAGTGCAACTCCTTTCCACCCCCAAAATCTCGTAGTAATCCTTCTTTTTCTTCAGTTGTCTCACCATCGCAATCTGCTCCTCTGTGTACGACGCAGCTGCCGACGGTTTAGGTGACGAAGACCCAGTCGCCGTAGCCCTCTGGCGAACCGATGGTTGATCGAACGGCTTAGCTGAACCCAACCCAGATGGCCCATTGGCAGACCCACCAGCATCCGAACCCGAATGAGGATTGCAATTTCCGTCAATCGACGACAAGAGATCGTCGACGGGCAACGCCGGATCGAGACGGCGAGCTTTAGTCAGGAATTTTACGGCACGGCTTCGATCCCCAGCTTCCAAAGCATCCTTCCCAATTCTGAAGCATTTCAAGGCATCGTCTTTGTTTCCATCCATCTCGAAATTTTCCCAGAAGACAAAAACAAAGAATTCCCAGCAAATATTTTCCCGGAAAACTAGTACCCCATAGAAATTGAATTCAATTAGATTACATAAATTGAAGAAAAATTGGGAAATTTTGACTTACGAGGGAGATGAATCTGAAGGAGATATGTGCCGGGGATGAATCAATTACTGGGTATTGGAGAATTTGATCGATTTAGGGTTTCATGATGAGGGAGGTTTGGGGAGGAGTCCGACTTGGTGGGGGATTTTGGGGGAAAATTGATTTATTAGTGGGAAGTGGTGGTTCTTGACTCTTCTTTTATAGTTTGGTACCTTCATGTGGTTTTGAGGACGGTTGAAAGTCGTTACAGTTTCCCAATTTATATAAGCCCAAAACATTCAGCAACAAAAGGCCCATTTGTCCCAGTTGTCCGTAGGAATATTGATATGAAACGGAGGAGTCAAGGTGACGGTGATTTAAATCAATCATGTTTTTGTTTGTGAGAAATTCAAACCAACCCTGTAACGCGAAAATCTTATAACATACGACATCATTTTATTGATAGTGATTTAAATCAATCAAGCTTCTGTTTGTGAGAAATTCAAACCAACCCTGTAATGCTATTAGAAAATCTTATAACATATGGCATCATTTTATTGATGATGATTTAAATCAATCATGCTTTTGTTTGTGAGAAATTCAAACCAACCGTGTAACGCTATTAGAAAATCTTATATGGCATCATTTTATTGATTGAAAACGTCACATTAGCTTTTGGGGAAGAATAATTTACTTGGCATGGAAAGCGACGATAAATGTATAATTGCGACGATAAATGAATAATTTACTTGGCATGGAAAGCGACGATAAGAGGCTGTTTGATAATTATTTTGTTTTTAGTTTTTAGATAACCATTTTATTTTGCTATTTACTTTCAATTTCAAACAAAAAAAAAACTGAACCAAATGTTGAAAATTCAAGGTCAACACTTGAAATTCAAGAAAGTAATTTTTCATTTTCAAGGTCAAACAAGATTTCAGTTTTCAGTTCAAAAAACGTAAAAACAAACTGAAAACGAAAAGTTTTTCTCCAAGTTGTAAGATTAGATGGCCCAATTGGCCCAGTCCTAGATCCAGATGGCCCAATCCAAGTGTGTTTTTTTCGCTAAAAAATTATAGTCTTTATTCAAAAACCCTAAACCCCTAAACCTGAAGTTATTACCTTTCTTCTTTCTTCAGCTTTCAAGTCGCGAGCTGCAGAACCAAAAGAGGTCGCAGCAATGGAGATCCCGCAGCAGCAGCAGCAGCAGCAGCAGATTCAAGTCGATCTGGGTAATCTCATGGCCTTCGACCCTCATCACAGCTTCCCCTCTAACCCCTCCTCCAGGTAATTATTTTATATTTCTCTTGTTTTTGGTTTTTTTTTTGTTTTGGTATAATTCTGGGTTTGTAACTGTTTGTGCTCTGAGAAATTAATTGAAAATATAATTTTGGAAATTGGGTTTTTTATTTGGATTAGTCCCAGTAGTAAAGTTGCAGTCTTTAAGTGAAATAGTGAATTTTTTACACTATCCTGATAGGTTTTTTTTCAGTGGGTGAAATTCTGATTTGGTTTTTCGTTTTTGGTTTTTATTAATTTAGGGAGGAATTAGTGAAGGAATGTATAGCGAAAGGGACTGAGTTGGTTCAAGCTATTGCAAATAGTCTTTTCAACTTACCTTCAACTGAAGATATAGACGGTCCAATTGTGCAATTGCCTCGTCCCGAAACGAAACTGCCAAGACAGAAGCATGTAAGTCGTTCCTCTTAGTTTATGATTCTCCAACGATGTTTTTTTTATAGGTTTGATCATGCATATTAACATTGGATAGTGAATACATGATTCACAATCTGTTGTTTGAAAAGAAGTAGAATGGTAGTTTTAGGTAACTGTCGAAATTTTTGTTGATCCCCCCTTTTGTGCTGCCAATTTACGGTTCCTCTCATGGAAATTGGTCGACTAGAATGCTAGCATATGCAGAAGGGCTGTTGATGCTGCTGGTTTTTCTGTAACCAAATTAAGAGTTGCTATTGTATTCTTAGCATAAATAAATGTCTGACTGCCAATGGCATATTCTTTTGTTCTCTGCAGCTGCCAGTGCCTAAACCTCCAACGAAATGGGAAACTTTTGCCAAAACAAAAGGTTAGTCATTACTGTATGAGTCGAATAGTACCTGTGTTCTGTTTCTTTTTTCTTTCGTCTTTCCCCTTCTCTGTCTAGAGTTTCTCATGTGGGCATTTGGGCCTTGAGAAATATAGTTGGATTAAAGATTTTGAGAAATTGGATTATCCTTAAGCTGAACTTATGTGTTGGTTACATTATTTTGATATGTATTGCAGGTATCAAGAATCGTAAAAGAGACAAGATTGCATATGATGAGCCGACTGAAACTTGGAAACGTCGCTTTGGATATGATCGTGCAAATGATGAGAATAGTGTACCTATCATTGAGGCGAAGGAGACTGATGGTAATTGTTTCACAATCTTAAAGCTTTCAGAAAGTCATTATTTTCTTTTGTAAGCACTGAAATGCATGATTTACCTTGTCAATATGATGCGAAAGTTATCTTTCTGCTCTCGTTACTTTTTTTCAGTGCCAGGGGAAGATCCTTTTGCTAAAAGGCAAGAGGATAAAAAGAAAAGAGTTGAAAAACAAGACAAGAATAGGTTGCAGAACTTGAAGCAAGCTGCAAAAGTTGGTGCTTTACCAAGGTTTGCCCTTCTACTTCTCCGTGTTATTCAAAACATAGATGGCTCGTTACTAGTTAAAGTAGAAAACCAGTTAGCTGCTTAGACATCCAATTTGGCAATCGATAACTACAAAACGATATAAGCTAGTGTTTATATTGGAAATTCACACTTTGGGAAAGTTTCAGTGACCTTAGATGTTTCTTTTCCATTGCAACAGCATAATCTAACTAAACTCTTTCACAGCCATGTTCAACTGGCTGCCACACGATTGCCCATAACGGGAACCCAGTCTACAATGAAGAAGTTTTCTAAAGATGAACTGGGTAATGTAGCGGGAATTGCAGCAACTGCAACAGCCAGTGGTGGTAAGTTTGACAAGAAATTGCCAGGTGAAAAACCTCCTAAACATAAAGGAAAGTTCCGCAAGGTATGTATTTCTAATCCTAGCCATGTTCAACTGTTTGTCGCACATCACAATAAACTGATAAATGTACTTGCCCCGTATTCTTTCGCCTTTTGCATTCAGTTTTTACCAGTTGTAGAAGGAAAGGGGAAACACTCGCAAGAGCAGGAACAAACAGATAAAGTACTGAACAAGCTAATCTCTAAGAATTCCCATGAGATATTTAACGTTGACAAGGTTCATCTCTTTCACTGTCAAATGGTTTTCTGCTGCAGTATTCATCCGGTTTGAGTCCCTCTTATTAATTGAATTTTTGTGACACAGGCTGTTAACATGTACAACGTCAAGAAGGACAAGAAGCGAAAGAACAAGCCAGGGATGTCCTCGAGCACGTTAAAACCGAAGAAGAACATCCAAAAGAAGCCATTAAAGAAGGGATCTTCATCGAAAGGAAAGGGAAAGTGAATGTATTATTAATGTCACCGATAAGCTATTGGAGTTTTGATGTAGGTTTTACAAGTTTAATCATTTGGAATCGAAGATTATTATGCAAGACTTCTTTATTTTTCAGGAGCAATGTTTTCAGTCTCTCTCTGTCTCTCTCTCTCTCTCTCTGTCTCTCTCTCTCTCTCTCTCTATGGTGTGTTCATGTCTTTGGGATGAAATATGTCGACGTGTAGTTTTTGGTATTAAACATAGCCACGTAGTCCATTAGGGTCTTCCAATCAAAATGCAACTTTATTCTGCTTAAATGCAAATTTGAAACATCAACAATCAAATTCTATCAGAATCTGGTGGACTCAAAGTCCCAAGAAAGTTTCTCATCCAATATCTAAATTAATGCCTTTTGTTTTACTTGGAATAAGATAAGTCGCGACATGAAAAGTAATTTAAAATGACAAAAATTATGAATGGAAATAATACTTAGCTGTTTAGATATTAGACAAATGCTCGTATTTCATGCATGGTTGTTCAATTATGATATGTGAACGATACCCATGTCTGCATACCCTAATCGGAATGAAATACTCGGTTTTTGATGTATTGATTATAAATTGTAATATGTGACATAATTTTCGATTTCATGTGTTAGTAAATACAAAAAAGTCACAAATATAAATAATTTTTTCTCTTAAAAAGGGGATCAGCTGGTGGCGAAACTACGATAGTTCATCATTTCGAATGTCAGAAAGACTCACAGAGACATTTTAGTCTCATTTTAACTACCATTGTAAGATTCACCAACGCCAAAATGTGAACTCAGGACGAGCTGTATGAAATGTGCACCTGAAGTTTACCCCAACGTTTGTTTTTTAGTGAACACAAGTGTTGTAAACCAAAAGACCTAGAGGGATCATGAACCACAGAAAAATATATAAACTCCACTGGCCCTTTAATCCCCCAATTTCCCCAAGAGTCAAATATAATTGGTTGTCCTAGTTTCGAAGTATTGGCAAATAAAACCTATTCATTTTAAGCCGACCCAACTCTTTTTTCTCCTCAAAGATTGATATTTATATAGTTCCAAGCTTTTGGATTAATGGATAGGAGAAGATTGCAGGCCACTGAAAATACAAACGACGATGTAGTATTCTCTTGTTCTTCCGGGATTAGAATCCGACGCAGTCCTCTAAATAGCACTTCGCAATCCGGTGGACTGTTTGCCAGCGTTGGACAAGTTGCAGGAGGATTTGGTATCACACCAAGTCCACAGAACTCCATAAACCAAACCACAAAGCTTCTGAGCTCCACGTACATGACATACATGCCCACGCCGGACTTCGGGCTGCGAATTAGTAGGGTTGACGAGTTGGTGGAGGCAGAGTCACTGTTCGAGGTTGGAGAAGCAGAAGAGCTGCTGAAAGTCAACAAAATCAAAGGTAATGGTGGTGGTTTGAGGTTGAAAATAAAGGTTGGGAATGCATCACTGAGGAGGCTGGTGAGTGGAGCGGTGGCGGGAGTGGTGTCGCGGATGGCGGTTGCGCCGCTGGAGACGATACGGACGCATTTGATGGTGGGGGGCAGTGGCCACTCCAGTGCTTCTCATGTCTTTCAGTCTATCATGGAAACTGATGGATGGCAGGGCTTGTTCAGGGGTACTTTGGTCAATGTCATCAGGGTTGCTCCAAACAAGGCTATTGAGGTATGATATTCCATACGAGCAAGATATTTAGTACACAAATTCTATGTGCATAACGTCAGTAAAAAATAATTGTGTATTGATAACATCTCGTTAAGTTTTGTTAGCAACAATGATATTGACACATTATCAGTGACATATTAACGATAAAAAAAAAGAACGTTTCGTTCCATAACTAGACTTGTATAACTTCATATTTCGACCTCTTTCCTTTGTGCAGTTATTTGCTTATGACACGGTGAAGAAGCACTTAACTCGACCCGAAGAAGACCTGAAAATCCCTATCCCGGCTTCATCAATCGCAGGCGCTGTTGCCGGATTTAGCTCAACCTTGTGTACATACCCTCTCGAGTTGTTAAAAACACGATTAACAGTCCAGGTAAATTGGTTCCCGAAATTTGAAAGGACTATTGAATTCATTTGGTTTGTTTTCTTCACATTAGTACTCACGGTAACATATTTTACATGATTGCAGAAAGGAGCGTACAACAATTTTTTCGACGCAGTTTCGAAAATTGTCCAACAGGAGGGAGCTGCAGGGCTATACAGAGGCCTCACCCCGAGTTTAATCGGCGTAATTCCATACGCTGCCTCCAACTATTTTGCTTACGATGCGCTCTCAAGAGCTTACAAGAAAGCTTTCAAAAAGGAGGAAATCGGAAACATAGCAACTCTTTTGATCGGATCAGCAGCCGCTGCAATTTCGAGCAGTGCAACTTTCCCGCTTGAGGTGGCTCGGAAGAGAATGCAGGTTGGGGCTCTCGGTGGGAGGCAATACAAGCACATACTTGATGCTCTTTCGAGCATACTTGCCAGTGAAGGAATCAGTGGCCTGTACAGAGGGTTGGGGCCGAGCTACATGAAATTGGTCCCTGCTGCTGGGATTTCCTTCATGTGCTACGAGGCTTGCAAGCGGATACTGAATGAGAACGATGAAGAACTCTAATACAACTATACGCGCCCCAGAAGGACTCCAAATTTCCAATTTTGGATCGTTGATCGAAAAGTAGCAGATGTTCATAACAGCGTGTTTCGATTTGATCACATACTTCATGTTTTGGACAACATCATGAGCATAGTAAGGTTATCGGAGAGCTCATATTCCATAATACAGGCACACCCATGATTGGGTTTAACCTATGACATTTTATCAAGCTGTAAATTTTCCCTTATTTTTGTTTTCATGAGCTAAGTCTTCTTCTTGAGTTAGTTTTGAGTTGGTTTTGAATTGTGTTAATAACAAAATTTTACCAAACAAGAATTATTGACATGACACTCAGAAACTGTTTTTTATTTTAAAAGGTTAGATTTAAGTTGAATATCAAACGGGCTATTAATTTCCTCCAACATTTAACTTGCAAATGGAGTGCGTTTGTATAATTATGTAATACAGAAATGCAAACACATATCGAAAAATGTGAACTGTTCACAAAGAGAGGAAAAATATAATGAACAAAGAAGCAATTAGACACAACACATCCACAAATTATGGGAAATAATTGTGATTGGTAGATTGTTTATTTCGTGACCTAACAATAGCTACCGAAGGCCCTTGGGCAGTTGGGCCTCGTATTTGGATTTCAAATATATATAAACATAATAGAGAAAAAGACCAACAGGGGATGTAGCTCAGATGGTAGAGCGCTCGCTTAGCATGCGAGAGGTATGGGGATCGATACCCCACTTCTCCAACCCAACCATTTTTTATGTTTTAATTAACAGTTATTTTTGTCATTATCCTCCCAAAAAATCCAAGCAAAAATGAAGCCCAAAGCTTGAGATTTGAAGAGGGAAAAATAATAATAATCCATTAAACTGTGATTCAGGATCACATCAACTTTTACAAAATGTGGTTGCTCTCCAAATCTGGGAGCCAATATTTCCAACTCAAAAAACAGATACCAAAAGCAAGAGGCATGTTAGCAGCATCTCCAAAAGCACCCATTTGGTTAACCACTTAAATCTCCAACTTGTAACTTAAGTCTTCAGCAACTAATTCTGCACCTTTATATATTAATTTTACCACCATATAGATATAGATATAGATATAAATATATCTATAGATATAGCCTCTGTAAATATTATCCAAGGTGTTCTGCAGATCTCTAATCCCACCCACCAGCAACAATAGTTTCATAGTTTCCGTAGCCGTTTGGAACAGCAGCAGCATCGTTATAGGGAGCAGCAGACATGCCCCCAGAATAATCTCCATAGCCATAGCTGCTTGGACCGTAATAACCGTCATGCGCATATTGAGAGTCCCTACGATAGTCATATCCACCAAACTTACTGCCACCAGACCTCCTGTTCCGGCCACCACCACCACCACCACTGCTGTATGTCTGTGATTCGCCCTCAGCATATTCGTTCAGCCAGCTTGGAACCTCCTGGTTTGACTCCTGCATCAGTTCGATCAGTCCCTTGGCGAGTGGCTGGTTTTTGGCATTGAAGAAAGCAGTTGCAAGACCTGAATTTCCAGCACGCCCTGTTCGTCCAATCCGGTGAACGTAGTCATCTATGCTTTTTGGCAGATCAAAGTTGATGACATGGGAAACATGAGGGATGTCTAGCCCTCGTGAAGCAACATCTGTCGCCACCAATATTGGGGTCTTGCCACACTTGAACAATCTCAAAGCTTGCTCCCTCTCCTTCAAAATTGGCCAAGTCAAATAATAATTTAGATAGCATAAAGGGCAGACAACAAATTTTTTATTAACAGTCCAGAATAACATGTTTAACCTTAATTACAGCAAGTTTCGAAGACAATGAGACAAACCCCAAGACAAAAATTCTTTTTCCTCCGACCAAAAATGTCGATTAAGCCAATTGCAAGAAAGAAAAAGAATTCATACAGCTACTAAACCTCATTGCACTCGTAACAAATGCAGAAAACATCCGGTAAATACGCGCACACAACCAAAAGATTTCATATAAACAATAAGATATCTGGAAATAAAGAAGCAAAAATGATAAACGAACCATTTGCACTTTATCACCATGTATAGCTATAGCTGGAAAACGATTCATGCGTAACCAGTTTTCTAAAGAATCTGCACTTCTCTTGGTCTCCACAAACACCAAGGTTAAAGCAACCTGAAGTAAGAACAATATTAATCTAAGCATCAGATCTTGAAAAGTATCAATCAAAAACACCATATCATTGCCAAATCGATGCTACAATTAACATTCTCCACGGCTCGTGAATTCTCAAATTGCTATCATACCTTTCCATGAGCTCCATTTGCCTGCTGGCTAAGCAGCTTCATCAAATGGTTTCTTTTGTCCATATCCTCAACGAGTTCAACTCTTTGTGTAATGAGTCCTGTGCTTGATCCAACTCTTCCAACAGATAGAAAAATGTAGTTTGACAGAAAATCTGCAGCGAGCCTCTGCGAGAAACAAAAATTACAAATACAAACATATAAGAGAACAATCATACGATAAGCAGATACAATAAATCAACAAACCAAGCATAACATCAAATCACGCTAGAGAGCATTATCGTTTAATAAACCCACCTGTATTTCATCAGGGAACGTAGCACTGAAAAGCAACGTTTGTCTTGCACCAGAGCGAGGCATGTCCATTTGTTCGACAATCCTCCTTATCTGAGGCTCAAAACCCATGTCCAACATCCTATCAGCCTCATCTAATGCCAAATACTTGATATTACTCAGCGAAACTCGTGACCTCTCAATCATGTCCACCAAGCGACCGGGAGTTGCAACAAGGATATCACAACCTCTATCCAGAATACGTAACTGCAGAATCAAGGATTAAACCATATGTCATTCCAAATTAACACATCTAATATATTAAAGCATCAAGAACAAACCGCGAATCGAGAACCGAGTGAGTAAACATAAATGGATTTAGAACGTTTAACAAATCTTCTACACAAAATGTTTATATGGATCATGATAATATTTCATCACCCGAATCGGGTGAGTAAACACGGCAACCAATTCATCTGAAAAATCAGCAAAAATTAACAACAAAATACAAAAATATAGAGCTGAGAATCACAAAGAAAACGACAAAAACCTGCTGAGAAATTGGAGCTCCACCATAAGCAACAACAATCTTCACCCCACTCTGATAACCAAATTTCTTAGCTTCCTCATGAATCTGCCCAAAAATTCAATAAAAAAGCAAACGCCAAACAAAATTAGGCCAAAATCATAAACCCATTAGCACATGAACTTCGAAGCGACCACAATGGAGCAAATATTTACATACCTGACCAGCCAGCTCTCTCGTCGGAGACAAAATGAGGGCGGAGGGGCACACGCCGCGATCCACGCCGCGAGCCGGCGACAACCCCACACCGTTGTTCAAGACCCCACTGATAATGGGGAAGCAAAACGCAGCCGTTTTGCCGGACCCAGTCTGAGCACAGGCCATCAAGTCGCGGCCAGCCATGGCTATCGGAATAGCGTGGCGCTGAATCGGCGTGGGCTTCACGTACTTGCACCGCTTGATGTTTTCGTTCAAGCATTCGGCCAAATCGATCTCGACAAACGTGTCCACCGGCGGCGGAATGTCCTCGCCGCTCGCCTCCACCGGGATGTCTTCGTAGGCGTCGAAATTGATACCGCCATTTCCATCGCCTTCGTCCTCAGTGACTTTGAGCTGATCAAATTCCTCAGAGACATTATCAAACGGGTTTTGGGTCTGGGGTCGGGTTTGGGGGCGTTTGAGCCCAAAAGCGAGCGCCACCACGTCCGCGACCTCGTCCTCCGCCACCGCGACCCGGACCGTTCCGGCCGGCTTGCCTTCCTGGACCACCAGCGTAGCTTTGCCGAAAGCCGTACTGGGCCGACTCGGTTGGGGGCGCGTAGCCGTAACCGTACGACCCGCCGCCGCCTTCACTGTTTCGGAGATGCCGAGGTATATATTTGGGCAGAGTTCGGCGAGTCGGGTTCCGAGTTGACTCGGTGAAGGAATCGGACCAAGGCATTGTCATCTCCGATGGCTTTTTTTCTGTAAAACAAATTCTCAGATGAAAAATGGGGAGAAAATGAAAGGGTTTTATAAAAATGTAGAGAGAGATTGAAGGTTCTGGGGATCCGTACGGACGGAGGTTTGCTTCGAATATCGCAAAATGGAGTCCGTATTTTAGAGAGAGAGAGAGAGAGAGAGCGCGATGGAGAGGATGTGGGAAAAAGCTGCAGTGACAGTGTGTAGTAAAATCACTCACTCTCTTTCCCTCTCTTGTTTATCTCTCCTCTTTTCGTTTTCCTTTCCCATGAAGAAAGCCTGCAAAACCCTAAAAACCCCTTCGTGTCTAGAGAGAGAAAGAGGAGAGAGAGGGTGAGAGGGACGTTTTCTCGCTCCTCTCAGGAGATGTATGTGGGGGAGAGAGAGGGTTTTTCGCACGTTCATTTAATTGCGCGCGTGCTCTGAGCCCTCGAATTTTGGTTCGACGAATTTTATTCTTATTTTGTGACGTGGAGGCTTTCTATTGGGTAGTAAGAGAGGTATACAGTGGAGCTGTAAGGCAGCCGATTGGTTCTCACAAAAGGACTTGGATCCTCTCCTGAGCCAGTCCCAACGAAGCCTAAGGATCAATTGATCATAGCCCTTTAATTTGATCCTGCGGTTAAAAACGGTTCTCCACAGTTGTCCCTCTCCACCCCTCTTAACATCTCCCGCACCTCTCTCTCACTCCCCTCCCCCTCATTCTCTCTTGGACAAGGATTGTTTGCCCTCTACTTCCAGTGCTCTTCCCGTGCCCCTGTTTTGTGTGATCAAGATTAAGCCACGTTAACATTTTATATTGTTTTTTTATAGATATAATAAGACAAAAATGAATAGTAATATAAAATGTTGATGTAGGTTAACCGTGACCACACAAACAGAAGGGCACGAGAAGGTCACCGGAAGTGGAGGGCAGACAATACTTGTCCCTCTCTCTCTCAACGCATCCATGGTCGATCGTCACCAAAACCCAGAACAAACCCAGCAACAACAGAGAGCACCGAGACCCAACAACCCTTACACCCCCACAAATGCCTCCACACACAACCCATATGGGACTGAAGACGATGATGCGGGGTGAAGAAGATTACACCGAGGACGGTGGCGATGACGGTGAGGCCAACGAGGATAAGGAGAATGGCACCAGAGACGAAGAGGGAGGGGAAGCCAACGAGCTGGACAGAGTTGGGTGCACTGCCTTGGCCGTTCTTGGCCACATGATCAAATTGAAGGGTTGTGATCAATTGATCCCCAGGCTAGCTTAGGAGAGTATCCAAGTCTCTCACAAAATATCTTTCAAGTGGTGACGTGGCAGGTTGCTGATGCTGGGAAATTGTGGACTTTTTGGTGCTGTAACACGCGCCAAGAATGCGAGTGGACTTCTGAATCGAGAAAACCAACGGCCGTGAGGGTAGAATCGGATTTTGGCATCTTTACCCGCAAGTTGCGGGCTTGCGGCTATTGGCTATGTAGCTGGCGTAAAGCCTCTGGTGGGACCCAATATTATATGGGGGGGTCATGCACGTACTAAAGCATGAGATTTTATAGTACTCACGAGAATCATATTCTCTGGATTCTGAGTATCATGTTCTTTGAGTATTTTAACCGTTACGTTTATGATGAAAAATATAAAATCAAGATCTCGCGATTAAAAAGTTATATGTACATATAGGTTTAATAATTTTTTGCATGATCTGTTAATTTGATATGAAAATAACAAATTTTGAGTTAATTTGTTAATGAATCATGTAGTTATCGGGTCATCCGTTAAAACTCTGTTAACAAATTTGATCGTTATTGAGTCACTTTTTAAAAACCTATAATATATCGTTTGCTAGATATAGACATTAGACGTGGCAATATAAGGTCATCTCCAACCGAAAGCTGGTTATAGGGCTCGTTTTAGTCATGTCACAAAAAACCGTCTCCAACCGAGGGCCATAGGGCCAAACATAATTTATTATTTAAAAACTAAATTCAAATCCAACGCCTAAGTGACGTCAGCATGAAGTAGGCGTTTAAGTTTTAGAGTAAATTGTACAAATGGTCCCTCAATTTTAATCAAATTGGAGCAATAGTCCCTCAACTAAAAATCCATTACCATTGGTCCCTCAACTTATCAAAATGTGTAGCTATAGTCATTTTCATCAATTTTGTCAAAATTTTGTCAAAATAAGCTATGTTGGAATGACCATTTATATAATTAGGGTTCCTTAACTCATCAAAGTGTATAATTATGGTTCTTTTCGTCAACTATGTCAAAAAATTTGTCAAAACGAGTTATATTGGAAGGACCATTGCTACAATTGGGTTAAAGTTAAATGACAATTTCTCCACTTGAATTAAAGTTCAGGGACCAATGGTAATGAATTTTTAGTTGAGGGACCATAGATGCACGTTTTGATAAGTTGAGGGACCAAAGGTAATGGATTTTTAGTTGAAGGACCATTGCTCCAATTTGATTAAAGTTGAGGGACCATTTGTACAATTTACTCTAAGTTTTATGTTGTTAAATGTTTTTAAAAATGTTGTTTAAGTTTCATGTAGTTAAATGTTTTTTTATGTTGTATAATTTTTATGTTGGTTAATGTTGTTTCATGTTACTTAATTTAATTTAATGTTGTATAATAGCTTAAAAAGTTATAGGAACAAATGGAATTTATAAAAAAATATGAAACAAATTTTGTGAAATAGAAGTTATAGGAAAAATGGAATTTAAAAAAAATATGATACAAATTTTGTAAAATAGAAGTTATAGCAAAAAAATGGAATTTAAAAAAAATATATGAAACAAATTTTGTAAAATATAAGTTATAGGAAAAAAAAAAGAATTTGTAGAAAAAAAATAGAATTAAAAAATAGAAGTTATAGGAAAAAAAGTTTGTAAATAAATAAAAAAAAATTGTAAAAAAATTCAAAAATAACTGCTAGCTGACGTCAGTGAGCCGTTATATTCAAAATTTTCCATGCTATTTGTGTCGGTTATAACCGACACTATTCCTTTTATTTCTGTCGGTTATAATTGACACCAAAACCGACAATTTAAAAAAAAAAATCGAGCTGGCTGGCTAGTTGCATGTGGCCAACCCTTTGGCCCTTTGGCCCTTTCAGATTCTGTGGAGCCCACAAGACCTCTGCCCTAGCCCTCGGTTGGAGATGATTTTCGGGCTATTTTCGGCCCTCTGGACCTTTCGGTTGGAGATGGCCTAAGAATCCTATAATGTAGGGGTTGCTTGGATAATAGTTTGAACTTAATATCACTTTCTAATAGAAAATATTACATTTTACCCTAAACCCTACATGGTTTAGAGCATGTAAACGGTTCAGTTCTATAATATTTGTTCTAACATTTCGTCAAGGTAATAGTTATGAATAATTATCGACTCTTGGGAAACTGGTAGAAAAATGGGACATATTACGGGGCATACATTACAGATATCCTAGGAGAATCTTAATGCAGGGTAGAGATTGTGCAGTTTACCTATCTTAATATAAATGGCTGATGAAAATATATTTTCATAGTATGGTTTTTATATTGTCGCACTTCAGTTATACCATTTATGTTCCAACTAAGCATATAAATTTATCTTCGAGCAAGAACCACCATCCATCATTATCTCTTATTTTTTTTATTTATTCATTTTAATATTTTGTGCTTTGGATTTTATCTCTATATTTTATACAGCATGCCCTATATGTATCTCCTCTCTCCCCTTCTCCATCTATTCTCTCTCAGAAAAAAGCATGATCCGCAGCGTATACAAATACGTAGCCGTAATTGGCCGCGCACACGAATCCGTTTCCGTGATTCGCCGCGCACTCAACTCTGAAGCCAAACAACCAGTCAAGTACGACATGGGGTCAAGATCATCCGGCGAGGGGCTTGAATCAAACAGCGGCCGCGATTGATGATGGTATTGTGCCTTTAATCGATATTTGTTTTAGGGTTTGTGATCGAGGAGTTTGCTAGCTTTTGGTATTTTGCTTCTCATAGATGAGCCAAGTGCCATATACTTGTGACGGCTCGTAGATGATCCTAGTAACGAAAAATCATATTTTTACACTAAAAAGTCAAACATGATACTATTTATTTTATCTTCTATTTTGTCCTTATCGTTAAAACTCAAAGTTTTCAAGTTTTCAACCTTTTTCATAAGTTTTCCTTATTATTAAAAGCTAAAATTACCTTCTAATGCAATGCATGGACTTCCTCGTGCATGATTTTCATCACAATAATTCATATATGTAACTGCTACTTTGTCTGCATCAGAATGGTTGCCTTAGAATTTGTGTAATTGCCTCAATACTTTATAGACTGGCAAAAATCTTCAGCTCTTCGTCCTCCCACCCTCCTCCCCTCGGGGACACGAGTTTTCTTATTCCCAGTTCTCTTATGTTTCCTAATTTTAGTTGCTTATACATGTTTCCCGTATATACCGAGCTTTTTGGCTTTGTCGTTGTCGTCGTCTCGCATTGTTTTTATTTGTATTCGACATTTAAATGGAACTGCAATGTGAAAACAGATAGCAAGGCAGAAGAATTCAATGAAGGAATGGCTGCTGGCTCTGGGACTAAACTCACACCTGAAGAAGAAGAAGCAAAACTTAGATATGGTCCTTGTGAACGTTGTGGAAAGGAGAAAGACCACGCGACTAAAAACTGCCCTCTGAAGACTATTTGGATTTAACAGATAGAATGCAGTGGAGACAAATGCATTTGTAATTTCTAAGTTATGTCAGTCTTTTAGAACAAGAAGCCTTATTATTAAGTAAGTGTCGTTGCACTACTACGAAACCATTTATTAGTGTCGTTATGATAACCGACAAGAAACGTATATTACTATCGGATATTAAGCAAAATCCGACAGAAAATGGATGCAGTGGCAACTGGTTTGGTGTTTTTTAATGAAAAGTTTGTGTGGTTTTTAGTGATAATGTATGCATCAAGATTCAACGGCAACCGGTTTGGTGTTTTTTAATGAAAAGTTTGCGTGAATTAGCATATGATTTATGCTTTAATTTGGAAACAGGACTGGTTGGTGAATGTTGTTGGCGTAGTAATCATCTACAATTTTTCAGTAATCTGAGTTTTGAACTTTTGAGTACGATCCCCTTGTCCTCATTGAGGAGGCATTTTGTGCGCATTGAGGGGCCGTTGAATGAGATGAAGACGGATATGTTTTCAGACTGGTATGACCATTGGACGTGTTTTTGTATGATGTAAAATATGAAGCTTAACATAGCGAAAATTTTAGCGTACGGATATCCGTTTGTGACACCTCTACATATGGATCCCACAGGGCGTCTTATGCAAGAATTTCACCTAATTTAGACCTATGGTAAGGCCTCCGGCGGGTGGAGGACTTACCCCTGTTCAGCCATTTCAGATCCGGTCAAAAGATGTTTCTCTTCCTCCTCAAGTCTTTCCAACCATTTAAGTCCAAGATCACATCCTGCTTTCGCAGCAATCTGGAATCGTTCTCTTGCCATCTCTATGGGATCTGTTACGCTTTCCTTTCTGGCCAAAGGACCCCTCTTTGAAGAGAACTTCGTCACGGATTCGGGGATTTCAGCACCTAAGACATGCAAATTTATCATTAAGAGTAGAAAATTCGTTACAAAATTGGCAAAGGAAATGTATGCAGACAAATAAAATATAGCCATGCCATATATTTTTTTTTACAATTGGGAGCAGCCTCTCCACAAATGGGGGTAAGGCTAGCCGACATTCACCTCTCCCAGACCCTGCGTAAAGCGGGAGCCTTGTGCACTGGGTACGACCTTTTTGGTGATACCATAGGTGTTTAGAACCCTTTTTGTATCAATAGAATGATCGCCAAAAACTACCAGCGAAACTCCAAATCATCCTTCATAGTTACACGGTCTATGACTATGACTGGACATCAAATTCCACATAAAACAGAAGAAGCGTGGTTAAAAGAACAGACCTCTAAGAAGAAGAGATCCAAATGCTATAGCTGCACCGGGATGTCCCTGCACATATTAAAAGGAATAACAGTTTAAAATGGTGCACTAGTTAAACAATGTTGAGGTTCCATGTACGTGATAAAAGTTTTTCTATCTCCTATCTTTGCAAAACAGTTGCACCAGCATGTTGTATACCTAGTTAACGGATTGTCAATTTGAGGAGCGGACATTAAGATTCATAAAAACTGATTCTGTACACAAATCAGTGAAATTATGAGAGAGAGAGTGAGAGAGAGAGTGAGAGAGAGAGTCACTCCAACTACTAAATCGTCTGGAAAAACAAGCGTTCAGTATATACAAAGCAAAAATGCTACCATGTTTTGGATCACGAAACTTAAAACTCATTTTGCAAATGGAAGAAAGTGGGGCTATTCAAGTCAAGAAATATGAAAATTTTAATTTACTCATCTTTGCAAATGTCACAATAGCTTATCAAGTATATCTAACCCCGTTTCAAAGATCACCATTTTTTTACCAACAAAAATCTACGACTACTAAAGCACTTCAAGTTTAAACAATGTCCATTTTTCTACCACCAGTACTTAGTTTCCACCCGCATGCATATCCCTCATCGATGATCCATTGCTGAAACTGACTAGGGGGTACCAGGAGCTCTTTTACCTTATCCGATGCCCTATAGAAACACCACATTGCAGAGGCAATATCTTTTTTCACGCAGTCTCCCGTCAGATACACAGAACCAAGAAGGTAAAGAGCACCTGGATGCAACTAGAACATAGAGAGCTCAAGTAAGGCTTTGAAAACATTTCGGAATCATTACAATTTGCATCTACATGTGAAAACATACCTGGTCGACAGCCTTCTCTATATAATGGAAAGCTTGCTGATCCGAATGGACGTATTCATTCTAACGAAAAACAAAACAGTTGAAAACTCAGTAATATAAACCAAAAGCAAAGTGAACTAATAGGGGAGAACTTAAGTGCCGGAGTCACTAAACTTCATAGGTTAGGGGAACATAAAACTATCCTTAAGAAAGCTAAACCGATAAACACAAAAAAAAAAAAAAAATCTTCTAACTTCAAATACAAATTTCTTAGAATTCTTACATCAACTCGAAGACGACAACCCAGTTCGTACTGTGCATCCGGATCACCCATATCTGCCGCTTCAACTAACAAAGCAGCTCCTCTGTTATAACGAAAAATGGCGTAACATATCAATCAAATGACCTCCATCATGATGCATTACAAAGCAGTAATGTAGGGAATGCAGAGCACCATCAGAAAAGCAACACGAGAAAACACCGAAACGAGACGATTAAAACAACGAAAAACCGAACTTACATAGCTTTGCAGGCTCCCGGGACATGGTATTTCAAATGCAATTTGGACAACCAATACCTGGCATGGGTATTCGAATTGTCAGCCTCCAGTGCCAACTCAAAATTCTCCTTCGCTCCCTGATACAATTCAAACAACAGAAACCCAAAAATATAAACATATCGTACCCAGTGCACAAGGCTCCCGCTTTACGCAGGATCTGGCAGAGGTGAATGTCGGCTAGCCTTACCCCCATTTATGGAGAGGCTGCTTCCAAGTCTCGAACCCGAGACCTACCGCTCATGGGCGAAGGCACTTGCCATCGCACCAATTGCGACCTCTCAAAAATATAAACATATAAATCACATAAAAAAAATAATAATAGTTATCACAAATTCATGAACAAAAAGCACAAATTTCACAACTGGGGTTTGAGAAAACTACATAATTTACATAAAAAAATGAAAATTTATTCCAAATTCATAAACAAAAATGCAAATTCACAAATAGGGTTTGAGTTACATAATTAACATCTGAAATTAAATTAATTAATTACCCGTAAAAGAGGGATGAGGCGGCGATCGTTGAGCTCGCAGTAATCGATGACTCGGTCGACTTCCTTGAGGGCGCTCCAGCCTTTTGCTATCAACTCCATCGCCTTCTTGTTCCTGCTGTGCATCTCTCTCTGCAAAAAACCCAACCAGGAAATGGAAATATAAGCAAACGGAATTATGAGTGAGAGATTCAGCGGGAACGTAAGCTTGGGAGAGCGGAAAATGTGTACGGACCCGCTGATTGAATTGGGTGAGTCCATTGGGAGGTCGGAGACTGAGCTTCTTCAGCAGCTGCCTCTGCATCGTCTGTGTACACTGTGTGTGCTAGACACAGAGAGAGATGGAGAGAGAAAAGAGACAATAAGGGTGAGAGAGCGGTGGTGGAGGCGTTGGGCGGAGAAGCGGCGGAGGTTATGGCGAAGGAGAGAAAGATGCCGGAGAGAGGAGAACGGGAGTGAGTGATTCAAAGCAGTAATTTTTCTACCGAATAGGAAATCCGGGTTTTTTGACCCGCTTGTTATTAAACTGACGGTTTATCTATCTCGTCCGTCAGCCTAAAATAATTGGGCTTCGACCCATTTGAAACCCAAACAGCTTATAAGGAGGCCCGTGGCCTACAAAATCCCATAACACAAACACTATGATTATGGGCCTATTTTGAACTGTTCATGTAAGGGTTGAAAATGATTTTGGCTCGTTTGGATGTGCTTTTAAAATAGTTGAAAACACTTTTAGTGAAAACAATTTTGGGTTTCAAAAGCACTTTAAGTGCTTTCTACAAGAAGCACCAGCTATGTGTTTCTTCCAGGAAGCACTTTAAGTGCTTTTCCAGGATTTACTTGCATTTTTATTAAGGATTGATTCAAAAAACATTTTCACCAAAAGCGTTTTCAGTTATTTTAAAAACACATCCAAACGAGCTAACGATCAAAATTTTTTTTGGGTTATGTTTGACAAAAAGCATAAAAGCGCTTTTGAGCTGTAAAAGTACTTTTCCGATAAGCACACAGCAGAAAAGCCACTCTATATTGTTTTTTCATAAAGTACTAAGTTTTAAATAAAACTCTGACCTGTGAGATAAAATCACTTTAGTTGATAACTTATGAGTACAAGGACTTGTTTGGAAGTGCCTTTAAAATAAGCGCTCTTGATGAAAATATTTTTTAACCCGATCCTTAGTAAAAATGTAAGTAAATCCTGAAAAAACACTTAAAGTGCTTCCAAAAAAATCACATATTTGGTGCTTCTTCTAAAAAGCATTTAAAGTGTTTTTTAAACTCAAAATCAATTTGACCAAAAGCTCATTTTAAAAAACTTCCAAATGAGCACTAAGTGTTTCATCATTAAGACATATAATAAATCTTGAAAAGAGCTTTAAAGGAATTTTCGCATACTTTAGTTTAACCAAATTAACTAGAACAATATACTTCCACTTGTATGCTTAAGTTCGAATCTCGGTCTAATGTTATAATTATTTAAGCATTTTCACATTACAAATGCGATGAAACTCCTAAAATCAAGCTCTTTTCACATTACAAATGCGATGAAATTTCTAGAATGAAACTCCTCTCACATAACCAATTATTGCTACTTTCAGCTCATCCATCACACCACATGCTTTCAAATTTTCAATCAAACCCCATCCTTGACGCGTGTCATATTGGTCAAGTACTATGCCAAATACTTTTAAAAAGTGATTAGCTTGTCGTGGCAGTCGATTTTTTCGAAAGCTAAAAATACTTACAAAGATATTTTAGCTTTTTTCTGATCAAAATCATGTAATTCGTTATTACTGGAATTTAACAACTTTATATATAA